TGAGGCCATACTCTTAAGTGAAATAAATAGGACACACATGTGTAAATACCAAATAGTTTCTCTAGTGTGAGAAAATGAAAGTGTAAATAAGGATTAAAATGATTACAATGAATAATTGATAATTTGAAATAGGAAGAAAGGTCCAAAGGTATAGGGGTAATGGAAGGGGATGGGGAAAGGAAAGAAGGGAAAGGAAAAATTATGAGAAAATTAAAAAAATGGAAAGGAAGTCTATGTAAATAGGGAAGGGTGGAAGAGGTGATGGGTGCACAGGTAATGGGGGAAAAAAATGAAAACCAAGATACATCATGTACAGGTATAAGCACCCAATGATAAATGTAAAGGTATTGTATACCTAAAATGTACCAATAAAAGAATTTAAGGAAAAAAAAGAAGCTTATAAATGTACACCTGAGAGATAATGCATAATAAGACAGGCCTTTGTCTGTTGCCAAGCCCTCCACCCCCCTTATGTTTTTGCCGCAAGATGTTAGGTTCAAGCAATCTAATTGTTTGAGGTGCACAATGTTCCTGCCTCATGTTTCAAGACAATCTGTTAGCCCTGCCCTTCTGATCCTGTGAGCATGCTCACCCAGTACATGGGCCAAGCTCCCTACCCTGTAGATTTCGATATAAGGTTGCTTCCACTTCTGTTAGGTGCTCAGACTCTGGAGTACAAACTGCTCTGAGCCTTGCTGGGATGACAAAACTTGGTTCTCACCATCTCTTCCAGTGCTACTCCCAGTGCTGGATTTTTTCACCTCCAGAGACTTTCAGATAGCTGTAACACTTGGTTGTTAACCCAGAGTGGTAACACTTGTCGTAATGCTGAGCTGTCCCACTTCATTGTTACAATAATATTGCCCTTGGACCCTCCAAAGGAAACTTTGTCTCCTGTGGGTCAGATCTGAACCTATTACAAAGGTGAGAACTTGAGATCAATTCAAAAAGACCTTGCCCATGAAGATGTTCAGTGGAGTACTGTGGCCCTTACAGAGATGGACTGAAGGAATTTGGGACTTTATGCAGTACTGTAGCTACCAGCACAGGGGGGAGACATCAGTCTATCATGAAATTACAGGTGGAAGATTCTCATTAGGGTTCACTTGGGCACCCTCAGATTGCCCTGCACCCGAATAAGACAAAGGTTGAACATCCAACATTCTTAGCAAGCATGATTATCAAGTCACAGCTATTAATTTAAGATATTTCTGAACCTTACTCTTCTTTCCTTCCACCTCTTCAACAGAGAAGGAACAAAGGACTGCAGAGGGAGAAGAGCTAGGTGGGTAAATCATGATGTTGTAAAACATCATCTGAGCTAGGTTTATGGTTGGAGGGGCGGAAAAGCTTTAATCTGGATAAGAACAATTTTTATTAGATTGGATTGAACCTAAATAAAATAATAAAAGATAGAGTATCTGGGAATGCTATAGAACTAGCCTCTTATAAGGCTGAACAAGAAAGAGACTGCAGAGCAGGGTGAAATGAGCTGTCCTGGAAAGAATCTCTTTAAGTCCAGCTTACAATACGGTCATGTAAGTTTTGAGGGATGTAGCTAAAGAGAATGAATGACAACATATCTTTTTTACTCTCTTTTGTTAGGCACATACACATTAAAGATTGTTATGTCTTCTTGTAAAATTGAACTTTTATCATTATTTAATGTTCCTGTTTATTTGTGATATTTTTCCTTGCTTGGAAGGCTTTATCTAAAATTAATATCACTTCTTCAGGGTTTCTTTTGTTGAGTATTAGTATGATATATCTTTCTCTTTAACATTATATCCCTTTAATATTAATCTATCTGTGGCTTTATATTTAGAGTGTGTTTCTCATCGATAACATTGGATTTTTATCTGCTCTGACACTTCCTGTTAATTCGTATATTTAGAACACATGTTTAAAGTGATATGTGATATATTTATATTGATATATATAATTTGTTATTGTTTTCTATTCATTGCCTTGATTCTTTTGCTTTCTCCTCCCTCCCTCCCTCCTTTCCTTTTTTCCTTCCTTCCTTCCTTCCATCTTTCATTCTTTTTCTACTTTCCGTAGTTTTAATTGGGCATTTTATATAACTTCTTTGTTGTGCTCTTAGCATATCAATTATACTTCTTTTAATGTTTATTAGTCATTTCTCTGAGGTTTGTTATGTATAGTTACATCTAATCCAGGTCCTTTTTCAAATAACATCATACCACTTCATGTGCTATACCAGTACTTCATAACAATGTCCACAGTTTTTGACTTAGAAAGGTTCAACTTACAGTGCTGTAAATATGATACACATTCAGTAGAAATGCTATTTCAAATTTTGAATGTTAATCTTTTTTCCAGGCTAATAATGTGTGGTATGATATTCTCTTATGAAGCTAAGAAGTATCAGAGAACCACAGCTCCCAGTCACCCACACAATCAAAAGTAAACAACAAATATTGTACAGTATACTCTGTTGCTATGCTGTTCCATTGGTTAAGTATATTAAATGTATTATTTATTTGGATGTAACACCATCATAACTCCAGGAGGATCCATGTTCCCAATTGCCTTTTCTCATCTCTTATAACATAGATGTCATTCATTTCACTATTCTTAATAATCACTGAATTACTATTGAAAGAAATTGTTGTCTGTTAGATTAATTAAGAATAAGGAAATAAAATACTTTTATTTTACCTTCATTTATGCCTCTTCTAACTTTTTTTCTTTATGTACAATTAAGTTTCTGGCTTGCATCATTTTTGTTATTTCTGAAAACTTATTCTTAACATGCCTTGCAAAGCCAGTCTATTGCCAACAATATCCCTCAATTTTTGTTTGTGTGTTAAAGCCACCATTTCTCCTTTACCTTTGAAGGTTAATTTTGCTAGATACATATTTCTAGCTTGGTGTTATTTTTCTTTCAACAATGTACATATTTCACTCTACTCTGTCTTCATGGTTTCTGGGGAGAAATCCAATCCTTTTATCAAATTGTCTTCTTTTTTTCATAAAGTTTATTGGTACATTTTAGGTATACAATACAGTTACATTCATCATTGAGCACTTGTACCCTTACATAATGTATCTTGGTTCTTATTTTTTCCCTATTCCCCTGCCCTCCCTTCAACCCCTCCACCCCTCCCTATTTCAAATCCTTTTCTTTATATACTATTTCTCTATAAGTAAGGTATTTTTTCCTCTAGTGTCTTTCAAAATACTATCTTTGTCTTTAATTTTCTGAATTTTAAATATGAAATCCCAAAGTGTAGATTTTTTGGTATTTATCTTTCTTGTTGTTCTCCAGGCTTCATGAATCCCTTGCTACATTTGGTAAATTCTCAGCCATTATTACTTAAAATTTTTTTCAGTTTCTTTCTTTACGTTATTCACATTACATATATTTTGTGCATTTTGCAAGCATCCCACATTTCTTGGGTACTCTTTCACCTTTTTCATTCTTTTTCTTCCTTGCATTTCAGTTTTTGAAATTTCTACTGACATGTTTTCAAGCTCGGTGGTTCTCTCTTTAGCAATGTCTAGTGTCCATGTCCACATGCACTGATGAGACCAACAAGTGCATTCTTCATTTTGGTTGCAGTGTTTTTTATTACAGCACTTTCTTGATTTTTTTTCTTAGCTTTTATCTCTCTGCTATATAACCTATCTGTTTTCCTTTGTTGTCCACTTTTCCCATTAGAACTCTTAAAATGAAGCATTAAGAGTAGGCATTTAAAATAGGTATTATTAATTAAATAATATATTAATTATCTAAATATTAATAATCATAGTTATTAAAGTTTCTGGTATGATAATTCCAAACTCTCTGCTGTATCTGAACCTGGATTATATGTGGTGCTTGTCTCTTTAGGCTGTGTGTTTCCTATTAGCATGCTTTATTTGTTGTTGGAATTTACTGTTGGAACTCAAACGTAATCTGTCCTGTAAAAGGAACAGAGAGAGATAGGTCTTTAGGAGGAAGCTTTATATTTCTCTGGATAGGAGTAAGACTATTTCTTGTTTGGCTTAGCTGTAGTGTCAGAGGCTAAAATTTCCTCTGGTATGCTGATTTTTGTTGCCTTGGATTTTCAAAAATACTCCTAAATAATGTCTGAGCCTTGCAGTTCTTTGAAATGTAATCTCCTATTATACAGGACTTCTACTGATGCAGTGATAGGGGGAGGGGGCAGAGAAGCATTGTCAGTCTTATAGTGATCCTGAATTGGGTATTTCCCTTCCCCTAGATTGGTTGGACATTGATAAAATCCCAGTTGTTTAGGTCTTGGTAAAACAGTTCCCCTTGAGGGAAGGCTTCTCTAAGGACAAGGGAGACACTAGACATATTTCAGAATGGTTATATTTTCTACCCTCTTGCTGAAAACAGGGGAATATTTTTCTCAGATCTTCACAATGAGAACCTTGCAGGGGGTGGGGGCTTAGAGGTTAAGTCTCTTCAAATACAGGGACCCTTTAAGACTGGAATCCCTAGGAGATTTTAATTTTCAAGCTAGTATGTTATTAATATATTATTTTAACTTTCATACTGAGCCTCCAGTTTAAAGTGTTTCTACTCATATTGGCTTTAGCAGTGGGCTTCTGCTAAAAGTAAGATGTCAATCTTGCCTGTCTCTCTACTTTCAGGGCAGTGATTGGCTCTGTGCCCTCAATTCTTTGATGGATCTAAGAAGGCCTATTGACTTTCAGGGATTTTTAAATCTTTCTCAGCTTTTTTCTTATTATGAGGACAAGATTTACAACTTCAAAACATTTTACATTTTGAACTGGAAACCCTAACATTCTATTTTTTAAACTCTTCATTAATACATTGAATTTCTGCTATGTGCTAGAGACATTTGTGATTGCTGATTATAACAAAGGCAAATAAGATATAGTCAGTAACTTCAATGGGTACACATTGAGGGTCAAATACCAAGTTTATATAAATAAATTTTAATCATATTTTAGATTCACAGAAGCCCTTATTACCTTGAGTAATATGCTTTAGAAATCGAGTCTTATCAATTTTTTAACACTGAATGGGGTTCAGTCCTCTATCAAAGTTTTTCTTTGCATTAATTTCTTGAGAAGGAAAATATGAATATAATTTTGAAAATAATTGATGATTTTCATCTAAGTTTCATGATGTACTATACTGTTTGCAAACCAAAAATCATCAGTTTCTGAAAAAGGAACACATTTTTACAATCAATTTTTTGTCTTAGTTGAATGGACAGTGGTTTCTTTTTAAATAGTACTTATGGCTATTATGTTTTATAAAATATGTTTATTTTATTAATGAAGGATTTATTAAAGATATATTCTGAACACTTGATTTTCTCCATATTTTTTATTTTCAAATATTTTTGTCCTGTGAAAGAGAAATTCACACCGTCACAGCTAGATGAGACAAAGATATTACATGAAACAAATGCAGCCAAAGAAGTATTAAATGTTATTCTTCAGGTCCAGAATATCTACATAGAAAGTATGAGATATCTAAAGAAAAGAAAAGAAGTAAATATGTGCAACATAGTAAATAAATACTGTATTGTAGTATATCCAAAAATTCTATGTATACAATTAAAATGTACGGAAAGAGTAGTACCTAAATGGGGAGCTTGGTAACTAGGGTTAAAATATGCTAAGCTTCATGCATTATTTGGAAAGAAAGTAAAAGTAAAAGTAGTATTACAATTTCTGATTCAAAAATATATGCTGTAATCTCTAGGTAACCAATAAGTAAAAAGCACTTATACTTCAAATTAGAGGAAAATATGACTTAATGAAAATTACTCAAACCTGAACAAGATTGTAAAAGCATGGAACAAATAAGATAGATGGCAAGGCAAAAGAAATAGCTTTTAAATAAGATGGTGACTTTAAACCCAACTGTATTAGTTAATTACATTCAATGTTTAAGGACTAAATGTTCCAAAAGTATGAAAAATATTTATTTTATTACCACTAAGAAAGGGAAACTGGTATGCTCAAAAGTATGACAATAATCAGAATCCATTTTATAAATTTTATAAAAGTATTAGGTGATACAAAACAAAGACAGGGACCTCAAAGTGGTCACTTCAGCATTATCTCAAACCTACTTCTAAACCATGGACAAGAAAGAAAGAATTCAGACAAGGAATTGAAGAACGTGAAGACAGAGGAAGTCTGTATTAACTGTGTTTGTTGTATTTCTTCAGTTTCCCCTTCATATCTGCGGAGTATAGTGGTGTTTCTTTTGCCCACAAACTAAGCCAAATGGCTGATAGTGGTGAATGGAAGGGTGCGCTAAGAGAATTCGTAGTGAGTTTAGTCCCCTCACATTTATAGGGCACCACTCACTGTTGATGCCTAATACATACCTAAAAGGTCTAAAAGCATAAGCTGTTTTGATGGCAAAATCTGGTGGGGGGAGTAGAAGTATGAAATTTCTGTGCACCAACTGTAGGCCCAATGGAAGGAAATCAGACTGACCATTGTTGATGGAATTCCATTCAGAAGAAATGCCAGGAAAAGCAAAGTGAACCACGGAAAATCAGAGACTGAAGATGAAATTATAAGTACCCAGGTATAGAAAATGCTACCTGCATTCAGGTATATTCAGCTGAGGGAGCCCCCAAAAGGAACCCATAAAACTACCAACACAACAAAGACCCACCACTTGGAATCCTCCATACTCAGAGAACACCAAGGCCTGGTCACAAATGAACAGTCAAGTAAGCCTTTCTGCCCCGTGTCACATCCATTTCTGAACTCAAACACTGGACCAGCTAGATGCACACTGGTGAGTGGAATAGGAGTAGAATAGTTAGGTAGGAAAACAAATTTTACCATGCCCCATGTTCTGAAATAGAGCTGACAGAGGAGTTAAGATTTAGTAAGAAGATGGTTTGGAATCATATGATTATTAGGCTGGATTATATCATTTCTTACCTAAAGCTGACAAGAAAAGCTGTAAGGATGGCAGAGATTTTGTCAAAGTGGCTATGGAATGGAGATGTGGTATACATTAGGAAAGCAAATTGAAAGGAATCATATTGAGAAAAAAGAGTTACTTCCTGATTGCATCCCATGGAGTCAAGTTAATTCAATAAGCCAGTTGCCCTTACAGTAAGACCACAAATAGCCAACATGAAGACCTGGGCAAAAATTGATTGCATTATCAAATGATCCAGATATCCAAAAGTCCTAAAAGTGCAAGAGTATTTGGTATCTAATGTGTGTGGGGAAAGCCACATTACTTTTGTGCATTGCTAAGACCAGTTTGGGTATAGGAAATAAGTGGTCCCTTTATGAGATGAAACTGCCAAGCTTTATTTAAGCAGATGGCTGTTACTTCATTATTCAGTGTACTTTCCCTTGGCACTTCTCTCTCTCCCAATTATTGTTGCAGAATAGTCATTTATTTTGAAGAAATTACTAAGCTTCTAAGAAACAGGATCCAGAGGCCCGAACTATTTTTCTTTTTCTACCTACCTTCCAATCTGCAGCTGAAATTAGGTCGGAGACTAATTTCAACTATTGCTAAATCATAAAGAATTACATAAACCATTTCTATGATTGATCTTGAAGAATTAATACTAGTACTAACTTTTTCAAATTCTCTTTGAGGTTGGATAGGAGCAGCAACTCTAGATAACAACTATTT